AGAAGAGAAGAGAAGAGAAGAGAAGAGAAGAGAAGAGAAGAGAAGAGAAGAGAAGAGAAGAGAAGAGAAGAGAAGAGAAGAGAAGAGAAAAGAAAAGAAAAGAAAAGGGAAATAAAAACTTTAGAAGTAATTTCTGAGAAGTAGCTTTCTGGCTCCCTGAAGCGACACAGCCCTGGACAAGTGCCTGCCGGCCCAGGGGGCCTATTGGAGACAGAGACAGGGAGCCAAGCGTCTCCGCTAAACTCTGGGCCACGCCACCGGCATCTCCACCTTCCAGTTAAAGGGGGAGGAGGGGGAGGGGAGGGGAAAGAGGGACAGGAGCAAAGAATGGGGTGCAAAACAGACAGTGGGGAGCGGGGCTAAAGGGACAAGTTAGAGAGGAGGGGAAGGCAGGAAAAGGAAGGGCGCCAGGTGGACGGCAGCCCCGGGCAGGGAACGGAAAGGGGAATGGACAAGGCGAGGTGCAGAAAGAATGGATCCGGGGCAAGAGGGCAGGCACGGAGGACCAGGAGAGGAACGAGCGCAAAACTGCTGGAGGTACTGGGGGGCTCTTAGCTGGGGGAGGAGGGCAAGCCCTGAATCAGGGACCCGGTGCTGAGAATGGAGGAAGAAGAGACTCGCCGGCCTGATGGAGGAGTCCTTCCCGGAGCTGCACAGAACCAATGTGCCCCGCTCGGCTTGGTTCAACCCCAGGGCGCGGGGCACAGGCAGGGCCTGTTTCTGCTGTTGTTGGCCATGGACGCGGGCCTGTGGCCAACAGCTATGGCTCTTCTGGACTCCTTGAAATGGTCAGGACATGCTAGTCACATGTCAGCTCTGCCCACGGAGCCTCCAAGGGGTCTGTGTGAGCCCTGTCCAGCTGCCCGCTAAGCCCCCAGCTCAGGAGCTCAGTGCTTCCTGAGGTCCAGCTGGGACTCAAGCGCATTCTCAGGCTGGCTCTTTTGGAGGGGGGGTTCCCACCACCCTGATGGGTATGTCCGAGTCCCACGCCGATCACCCCGGTTACCCCCTGTGTGTGGTTGGCCTGCACCGTGCCCGAAGCCCGGCCAGAGCCTTCCCTGGCGCAAGCCCAGAGCTCTCTCAGTCTCTCCCAGGACTTATTGTACTTACTATTGAGACAGTAGTTCCCACACTCTGCCATGTGCCAGCGTGAAACAGAACAGAGAGAGTCAGGATCTCACAGGCATTGTAAAACCCCAGCTACTCTGGTGCAGATCACTGGAAACCAGCCGCGTTTCCCTCATAAAGGCCTGCAGAGGGCCCAGCTCGCCTCCCAGCCCCGCTGCATGTGGGGGTGAGGGTGGGCCAGTGGGGGACCAAGAGGACGTGTATGACAAGTTGTCTGACACCTCTGAGGCTCTCGGACCTTGAACTGACAGTCTTCATTTATTCTAAAGCTGGAGAAACAATTCCTTGCTAAAGAGTTACTTACCTTGTCAGCGATTATTACTTTTCTTGGCTTTAGGCTGTGTGTAAACAAAGAACCATAAGCCAGCCAGCTGCCTCTTTTCTCTCCAGAGTGGAAAATATCAACCTAATTCCCACCCTGGCACCCCCCTTTGCAAGACTCCAGAGCTCTGGTTACTTGCGATTAACAAAGGGCCGGGGACCGTCCAGAAATGATAGCACCGGAAGCAAACAGTGGCAACACCCTCTCTAGTCGGTCTATATGGACACATGTGCAACTCTATCCCGAAACACTGGAGCTGGAGGTGACCATCTAGCCTTTTGGGGCCCTTTAAGGTTTGTTGAAATATTGCAAACCTGATTATATTGAACCTGGCCCTTTCTCTCTATTTTTTTTTACACATTGTCTGTTCCCTGTGGTGAAGACCTTCCTGATGCATCAGTTGACATGTGCTCTTGTCACTTCCTCACATTTGTACCTACAATGCTCTGGCCCCCATGAACGGCAGCCTCTCAGCCAAGCATGTTGTCCACTCGAGGGACTTGAAACTCCCAGCAGACTATGAAGGGCTGAGAGGAGGGCCGGCTCCTTCGTGCAGCCACAGGACGGAGCAAAGGGAGGGCCTGGGGTGCTGTAATGCAGCTTTCCCAACAACCAGGGCTCCACTCAGCAAAACCCTGACGGATGGCAGCCCAGCCCGCAAAAGGCACCTCCCTCATCCTGGCGGGGGCAGCGCCCGCCCTTGGGGGACAGAACTACCTGGTACAGCATTCTTGTTCCATGAAGCAGACTCTGTAGCCACAAAGGAAACAAACAAACAAACATCTCTCTCTATACAACAAGCCCTCGGCTATCTAAAGACCAGCATCTGGCCTTTAGACAGCCCCCAATTTTTCACTGTTTAATCATCAACCATCCTGAGAAAAGAATTCCCGGTGGCATGCCTATTTTATTGATTTGTTTTTCTATTTACTGGGTTTTCTGAAAGTAGGGCCTATACTTACTGAAGCTATTTTTCATATACTGGGACCAGAAAAATTAATCCAGATCAGACCCAGCAATATGGTGTGAATCTACTAAAAGCAACATAAAATGTCCTAAATGTTGCGTATGTGGTAGGTCAGGGTAGGTCAGGCCAGATCGCACCTTTTAGGATCTTGCATCCATGAAGAACGGGTGCCGGAAGCCCAGGCGTGGCCTCAGTGGCTGTGGGTGTCTGCAGGGAGCTGGGTCAGCTCACCTGCTACAGAGAAACAACCCCATCTAGTGGCACTGAGTCCAAACTGTTCTCAGTCATGGACAGGAAGGGAGGAATAGGCTCCTATTTCTTCCCCAAGCAGTCTGTGTGCTATTGGTTGGGAGAACCCCAGGAAAACACAGCTGCATCCTATACCCATGTCTTGGACACTCAGAGCATAGGCTCTGAGAAGTCCTGCAGAAGAGAAGCTGTATAACCATGTTTCCCCAAACGTCTTTGACCACAGAACCCTTCCTCTCATTGTGTGCACGTGAATGTATGTGCAAAACAGCCATTAATATTCTTTTTTCTTTTTTTTTTTGCCATTAGTATTGTTTAGAACTTAAATTTTTACGTGCACTTTGTGAAACTCGGCTTTAACTTATTAGTAACTTACTTGGATACAGAGCTGTGAGGAACTGGAACACAAGATGGGTACATTTGGATGACAGTCGAAAGAAGAAAAAATCTCTAAGGAAGGGGGGTATTTGTTTCTGAGGAGGGAGGCCTTGTTGACACCCCTCTGGTGAGACAAGAAGGGGGCCTTGGTATTGGGGAGCTGAAGTTTGAGGTGGAGGAAGACACCTAAGTGGGAGAGCCCCCAGATGAAGGTGAGGCGATGGCCAAAGTCAAGCCTCTTGATTTTCATCAGCACCTGAAGTCCTGGCTGGGAGGCAGAAGAACCTATGGGTCCCCGAGGTGGGGACAGTGTGGCTCCATTTTCTGCAGTTGCTGCATCAGGGAGCCTGCAGTGCCCTGGGGGCCCCGGGAGCTTATAGGGCCTCCATGCCCCCCAAAGTCAAGGCTCAGGCTTTCTTGCTCCTGCCCATGACCTTGCAGGGAGCAGGGGGCTCCTGAAACTGCCACAGAACCTCCCTCGGATTTGTCCGAGTTTGGGGCCCAGCCCTCCGGACAAGGGTCCCAGCTCCCAGTGAGGTCCCAAGTGGAATTCACCTGCCTGATGAGGTTAGAGAAAACCAGACTCACTGAGGAGCCCCCACACTACGTTCCTGATGGAGGAGGTGCCCCTTGGTACGGGTTGAATGGGGCCTGGTGCTGGTGGTTTCTACACAATGTGGCTCAGTATAATGGGGCGGGTCTAACTTCCATGGGGAATGCTAGGAACAGGCTCTTGTTTTTGAAGCATGACCTGGTTTCAGGTAGGGGGCAAAAACCCCCTAAATCTTTATGAGGCTACAAACCACCTTGCTGGATTAGACAGCATTCTCTCTGACCACCAAGGATGGCTTCCAACCATTTGTGGTCTTTCAAGCTAAGAATTTACCCAAACTTTTAGAATGTTCTTCTGCATCCTACGGAACAATTATAGCTGCCACCTCGCAATTTTTCCAATCCTTACCTGGGACGAGGTGCTCTTCCCAGTGTAACAGCAGTCTGTGTTCCACTGTGTGCCTCCTGGGGCCTGGAAAACTTGTCCTTAGCAGCACTAACCTGCACCCTGAGCCCTGTTACTCCTCAGAAGCCATGTAATGGGAGAAGTTGTGGTACAGGCTGTGCCTCCCGTATGTGAGTCTCCCCAGAATGAGTCACAGCTGCCAGGGTGCCAGAGGACCGTCTTTTGTTCAAAGCACAAGGAGGTAACGATACAACCTGCCCCTTCATTCTGGTAAAATGTGTTTCTTGTTGAATCTGAGCCCAGTTATGAAGCTATAAACGTAAGCTTTTTTTTTCTTTTTTTTTTTAACCTGTTGTGGCTAATGTTCTGTAGCAGGAAACCAGGGTTAACAGGATCACAAATGATCCTTTCCTTCCTCCTCTAATTCCCGAAGCTGCTAACTGTTCCTGGAAGCCTGGACTTTAAATTGACCGTGAGTCCTGGTATTTAAGGCGGGAGCAAGCTTGCAGTGCTGGTGGTGAGGTGGAGACCGAGGAAATTCAAACACTGATGTGTGAAATCCAAACCCAGTCTTCTGAATGAACAGGCCACTCTTGAACTAAATCTCAGCAAGTACAAGCTGTTAACTAAACAAGGATTTGCTTGTCAGAATTCTCATCAGGCTCACTCACAAATGGATCAATGGCTCTTCTTTGAGGGGTTATCACTCTGGTGAGCTACGTTAATAAATATACTTCACACGATTTGCGACGGAGGTTTCAAAATTCATTTAAGTATGATACTACTAATCTTCCACCTGGCCAACTGGCATCTTTCATATTTTCCAAGACTGCTGCAAAACAACTTCTATCATTCCATACACCGAAAGACCTGCCTCATAATCTTAGCTTTCCTCTAGCCCTACGTCCGATAAAAATCAGGAACCAGGAAACAAATAATAAAGACAGAGAGTGTACTCCTTCACTAAGGCTGCCTGCAGGGCTGTCTACCTTTTTAAAAAATTAGTTCTCGAACAGGTGAGACCATTCTGACATCTAAACAAGAAGCTCCACGTGGCCCCACGAGCTGGCCACATGTGGACAGACCTCCTCCAGGCTCCAGGCCGTGGCCCTGCCTCCCTGGAGCCGGTGAGGGAGGTTCAGTCCAGCTCAAGTAATGGATATTACTTTTTTCACCAGTAATAATGACAGCTAGTCTTGGCTGAGTCCTTACCAGGCACCCTTCCAAGGAACAGACATTGTCTCATTGAATCCACACCAACCACACCCCCTGCCTTAGATGCTGTTGCTATTTTTATTCTCATGTTACAATGAGGAAACTGAGGCACGGGGGAAACTTAGGTAGCATGGAAAATAGCACACTATGGGCGGTTATTTATACTTTGGAGAAGTACAATTAGTATTTTTCTGTATTTGGCGAGATTTCTTTATAATGTTCATAGGCAGGGGTCAAACTATTTAGACAAAATATTTATCAGTCTATCAGGATGGGCTCTGGGAGTACCTCAGATGGAGAGGGTCCCTGGAAGCCCCCCTATATTATGGGCTAACCTTTTAGATGCTGGCCCATGAGGGGATTCTCAGGGAAGGAGCCAGGCAGAGGCATGGGGAAGGTATTTACCTACTGTTACAGGAGGATTTCAGCATTTTCATTATTAATTATAGCAGTTTATATGTGATTAACCATCTACAATGTCATTGGAATCATTGATAAAAATAACGGGTGTAGCTGCCCTTCTGTCACCAACTCTTCGGTCCGCCAACAGTCTGTCCGCCCCCCGCCCCCCGAGCCGAGCCCGAGCCCCCGCGTGTACCTTTCTGGCAGTGCACACCCTCGAAGCCCAAGGGGCAGTCACACTCGTAGCCCTCCTTCCGGGGCCGGCAGCTGCCCCCGTGGGCACAGGGGCTCGCCACGCACGGGTGGGCGGCGTTGTCCACGTTCACGCCCCAGGTGAAGTCGTGCTTCACGTGGATGGTGCGGTCGTTCAGGGTGATCTTGGGGAGAGACAACGTAAAGAGATTCAGGACCTCAGAAGACATCTTTGTGGTTTGTCAAGTGTCCCCTTGGCCCACTAACCCGAACCACGTGCAGTGAGAGGGCCTTGAAAAGAAGAGAAAGTCCAGTTGCTGCCTTCACAGTCCTAAGTGACACAGGAACTGCAGTGGTGACGTGGGGCACGTGGAAAATGGGCAGGAGTCAAGCACCTCTGGCTGGGAGGCCTGGTCACCAGAGGTCAAAGAGAAGGTCCAGTAACTACAAAGTGCGGTGCTCAACCTGGCGCCTATTAGACTCGCTGGGGAGATTTAGGAAATATCTAACGCCCAGGACCCACCAGGCAACCGAGTCAGAATCTCTGAGGGTGGGACCCAGTCACCAGTGACCTTCCAAAGCTTTCCAAGTGGCCGTAAAGCTGAGCAGGGAAGGACAAGCCCCAGGGGCCCTTCCCAGCTCTGATGAGCGAATCCTGATGGGACCTTCCTTCCCAGGCCCTGCTCCACCTCAGGGTTGACAAGGACCGATGGCCCACGTGGCACCCTTGGCAGCTGAAGGAAAGCTGGATGGCACTGCCACTCAGGAACCCAATATGCTTTTCTTCAAGTCCTTTCCCTCCCAGGGTTGGTGGCCTGGAGACCTGGGCTGGTGAGTCGACCTGAATGTCCGTTGCAGACAGAGCTCTCTGCTCTCATGCCCGGAGGGCCCGGGCGGCCCCAGGGGAAGGGGCAAGAGATGAATGAGTAGAAGCGGGGCCAGTGTCCTCTGTCCTTCACTAGCTGAGCCTTCATGGAAGGACTCTAATAATAGACTCTTGAGAACTTGGTTACATGACTGACGAACAACTGCTAAACGGGGTGTGGGGGTGAGCTGGGGGAGGGGGAATGAGCTGGTTCTTGCCAAAGTGCCAAGTAAACCTACAGAGAAGCAAACAGCCAAGACTTCCATAAGACTCCATTTACCTCCTTCCCTCTGTTGAGGTTCCTGCAGTGACCCGATGCCATCTGCCTCCCTCAACAGTCCCAGGATATTTCTGTGGATCTGCTGTAAAAACTCACCCTCATCGAGCTGCATTCATGTTATGTCCGCTGGGCCCGGACCCAGGAGCAGACATCATAAGAAATGGGGTTGGGAAGCCGTGCTGTGCCCATTCAAAAATGAGTCTTAAAAATGTTAAAACTTTCTCAGAATGCCTCTGGGTGCAGCAGGCTGCCCGCTGATCGCAATTCTCCATTCCACTGCCTGCGGTCAAGGCCAAGCAACAAACACGAGGGAGAGAAGCCCGTACCTTCTGGATGCTCCCACTGAACGGCTTGAGGATGCCCGATTTCTCCTTCACCTCATCGTAACTGGGGACTCCGCCGACAAAAATGTCCGTGTTGCAATTAATCTGTGTGAAGCCGCCCTGCCCGCAGATTAAAAACAAAACGCGGTTAACTTTAAGACAAGATCGTTAAGACTAGCTCGGGTCCCTTCAAGACCCATCCCGACAGTGCGTCTTCTTGTCGGTCTGACTTTCACATTGCTTTGCTTGCCACTGACCACTGATCTGAATTTCTCAACCTGAGACTCAGGTTCCCCATCTCCAAAACGCCATCCCCACCACAGTATCCACCTCACGGGTGTGCCACAGTGAATGGAGCGGGCGGCCCCAGCAGCAGCACCCTCTCCTGGCTGGAAGGCCACCTCCAACCTCAGTCTCAAGAGGGGCATGTCCCTTGTGCTTGTCAATAAAACAGAAGCAAGAGAGACGTGAACCACTTCTGGGCAGAAGCTTCCAGAGCCAGGGAGTGGTTCGCTGTGCCGTCCCCGAGGTGGCTCCCGGACATGAGCCCTTCTCTTCTGCGCAACCAAATCCCTCTTTCCCCACCCAAAGCCTCTTTCTTTCCTTGTCTTTTTTCTGCCGACCCATTTTCTTACCGGAGCGCCCACATTCACCTGTGCCCTCTTTAAATCTTGCAATGCACAAAATAAAGAGTGTCGGGATTTAAAATACTTGCAAATCTGAAGTACCCTCTGCTTTTAGGTGGCTGTAAAATTTTTTGGGGTGTGCAGAATCCTAGTAGGTTATAGCTTAAAGCAAATCTCTCTTATCTCTTCTTAAAAATGTCATTTTCCTTTGGACATATCCTTGGAAATAAAATCATGGGAAATAAAATCAAGTTATAAATTTGAGTAGAAATTCTGAGCTCTTGAGGCCATGAGAGTACACTGCCAACTAATAATAGTAAGTACAGTTAAATAGTGCTGACCACATGCCAGGGACTGCTGTGATTTACATATATCGTTGTTCTCATTTGCACAACTCCATGAAGTAGGTGCTATTATGATCACCATTAACCCCATTTTATAGATGAGAAAACACAAACTTGGGGTCCAGTGGTTTGCACACCCACAGAAAGGGCTGAGGAGTGGAGGTGGCAGGCAGTTTTCCAAGTGCTGTCCCTGTCGTAGCTCACTTAATCCTTACGGCGACCCTGCGAGGCCTCTACTGCTATTATCTGCACTCACAGTTGAGGCACAGAAGTTTAAGTAACTTGCCCTGTGAGGAGCTCAGGTTATAGCCCAGGCAGCCTGGATCTGGGCCCCCGGTAAGTCACCACTGCTGTTTCTGTCTCCAGGACAGGAAGAGAACAGTCACCCAGTCCCCACACACCACCAGGAGCAGGAGCGAGTCCTTCTTACCTCCGCATTGCCCTCCACCGCCTTCTGCTTATCCACCTGTAAGATGCCGTTCCTTGCTGTGCGAGATACGCGCAGCTCGTGCCAGTGGCCGAGGGCGAGGGGCTCTTGACTCCTGTCGAAGGAAGGAAGCTGAGCGTGGGTTAGCATCCTCCGTGTTACGGATACTGTTCGTCAATCTAGCTCTGATGACACGGATGCCAACCTCAGCACCTCACTCTGTTCAGCGAAAAGAAAACGATCATCCTACTACCTAGTACACACAGCAGCGGCAGCTCCATTTATGGGACCCCTTCGAGGCAGGAAAATTGCAGTTATTATCATATTTATTCCTTACGACAGGCTGGACATGTGGGTAGGACGAGCTTGTTTCTAGATGAGGGGTGACAGGAGGGTAAAATGTGATCATTGTTGCACATAAGCGCTGAAGAAAAGAAAATTATGAGGGCAATGGGGCAAACAGAGAGTCCTTGGTGTCCTAATGTTTGCAGCATTGTTGAAATGCAAAGAAAAGTAAGAGGATGGATGGATGGATGGAC